ATCCGTTGGACTATTGTGTCTGTAGTGTTTTGGAAAGCAAGGTTGGCACTAAAATATACCAAAGTGTCTATCACCTCAAGCAAGCGCTTCGCCGGGAATGGGGCAAAATACCGCAGAGCAACATTCGGGCAGCGTGTGACGGTTTCTTTGGCCGTTTGAAGGCCATAATGCGTGTCAAAGGTGAACAATTCGAACAAATCTAAACTTATTCTAAAATTTCATGCTATTTCCGATATTTATTGCTTTCATTCAATAAAATTTAAAAAAAAAATTGTAAAACTTATCGCGTTTGACTTCGTTACAGTTTTTTTATCTCAGTCCTAAATTTAGTATTGGGCGAAGAGATAGAGGTGGAATATTCGAATTTTATGCCGAGCTCTTTGTTGGTATCTGAAATTAAGATATGGATGTTGTTTCGGAAATGTGTACTAATTGTACCAAATGTGCTACATTGGAAATTGGGTGGAGGAATAAGGCGGAAACCCATAAATTTTTCTATAGATGACACTGTAGTCGTCTGTGGGTAAGATATAGAAGTGGTTATGGAAATATGTAGTATATTCGTATGAAAAGTACTAAATGGTACTAAATTTCATATTGGCTGAAGTTATAGGGCTGGAAACCCAAATTTGATGTTAGGGTTTCTGTTGGTATCTGCAAACGAGTTATGGAGGAGTTTTTGGAAATGTGTACTACAATTGTACGAAAAATATTAAATGGTACTAAAATGTGTACTACAATTGTACGAAAAATATTATATGGTACTAAATTTGGTATTGGATGAAGGTATCTATATTTGTACGAAAAATACTAAATGGTACTATATTTGGTATTGGCACAATAATTGATATTAAGATTGCAGGTTGTATCTGTGTTTAAGATTTGCCGGTAGTCGGAAAATTGGTCCTATATAAGTACTAAAAAGTACTAAATTTTGTATTGGCTGATGGGGTATGGCTGGAAACCTTAAATTTTATATTGAGGTGTCTGTTAGTAGCTGGAATTGAGATATGGAGGTGATCTTGGAAATGTGCTCTATAGTTTTTCGAAAAAGTTCTAAATTGGGTATTGGGTGATGGAATGGAATTGAGACCCATAAATTTGATAAAGATGCCACTGTTGGTGTAAGGGTTAAGATATGGAGGTGCTTTTGGAAATGTGAACTATATTTCTACGAGAAGCACTAAATTTGGTATTGGGTGAAGGGAAAGGGCTGGAATCCTCAAATTTGATATTTGTTGGTAACTTGTGGTGTTAATTGTTCGAAAAGTACTAAATGGTACTAAATTTGGTATTGGGTGAAGGGATAGAGCTGGAACCTCGAACATTTGTCTAAGGTGGAGAGATGTAGATTATTTTGCACATGCACACTGAATGTTTGTAAATTTGGTATTGGGTGAAGGTATAGAGATAAAATTCTGAAATTTGATATTGAGCTCACTGTCGATTTTCAGGGTATACATATGGAGACGTTGAAATAATTTTGGACACAAAAATGGGATGTGGGTCCATTGTACAATGATTTTTACCTCCCCAAAAAAAAATTCAAAATTAAAGAATTTGAAGGTTAAATATTTTCCTATCATTCTTTCCTAAATAGGACAAAACATGAATTATATATGAAATCTTGAAAGTCTGAAAATTTAGTACGATGTATGACGTTTAATTCAACAAAAAAATTGTCAAAACGAACCATTTTTACATTTTGCGTACTAAAATGGCCCAACACGAACCGTTGGAACGAAACCAATATTTTTAGTCTTTTCATATTTTGAACTACGTCGATACACTGAATTTTCCAAACAAAAAAGTTCGTGGAAGTCTCCACAGGTGGTCTAAATTTTCTTTCTTAAAAAATATGCATATCTATTATTTTTTTTGACTTGAAAAGTGTTTCCTCTCAAATTTCAAAATATTTATAGAAAAAAGTTCAACCAACGCAACACTGTCACTCAATATATAGACAACGACCTATTTATTTAGTGACCATTTTGACAGGTTATTGTTGAGTTTTTAAGTGTTTTAGTTTCTTTTGGTGATTGCAATTGTTTTAAATATTTCATTTGGGCATTGGAAATGTACTAAATAGGAACTTAAACTACAGTGAGATGTGTGTATTTATATTTATTTGTATGGTAAATAGTTAAATACCGACCCAAAAAATAACAGATAAATTTTAGCTCTGCGGAAAAGTAATAGTACATTGACAGTAGTCTACTGCGAAAAATGTTGAAAAAATAACGGAATAACGGAATCTCTGCAATGATTTTTCCTCCTATAAAATAGTCAATCATTCATCATTTATATCCAATTTTCTGAGAAATCCATAAATTCCATATTCACCACAGGCTTCTGGTTGAGAGAAATATTTTCATATAGCAAGCTGTATTGTATTGAAAATTGTGAACCTTTGTGGGTGAGGTACCAGAAGAGGTTCGCAGATATATATTATCTTCACAACAGATGAAATTTGAAGATAGTTGGATGCTTATTTCGCTCTCTTTTGGCGGTTTTGATTTTCAAAATCTAAAACCCTATGTGGGAGAGGTACCAGAAAAAATAGTCCGATCTCTTCCATCTTTATAACTGATCTTATTTTGAAATATTGAGACGTACCAAGTGTAAATGGAATTGGATGCTAATTACGCTTTTTTGAGCTTCATGGATATTCAAAATGTTGACCCTTGTGGCGGAGGTACCAGAAGGAGTAAATCGATATATCCGATCTTCTCAGCAGATCATGTTTTAATAGAAATAATGGGATGTGTGAAATATGAAGAGAACCGGATGCTTATTTCGGATTTTTTTATCATTTTGGTTATTCAAAACTCTGAGGTGGTACCAAAAGGAATGGATTGATCTCTACCATATTTATAACAGATGATGTGTCAAGTCAGAATGGATTTGCATGTAAATTTTTGTGTCTTATAGCTTTTTTAGCTTCATGCGTATTCAAAACTTTGAACCTTTCCGGGAGAGGTACCAAAAGGAATGATCCGATCTTTACCGTTTTTATAACAGATCCTGTTTTGATAGAGATATTGAGACGTACCGAGTCTTGAATGAATTCGGAAGTTAATTTCGCTTCATGGATATTGAAAATGTTTACCTCTTGTGGGGGAGGTATCAGAAGGAGTAGACCGATATATCCCATCTTCACAACAGATCTTTTGTTATGAGCTTCATGGATATTCAAAATTTTGACCCATCTTCGCACTAGACCTTGGGTTCATAACATTTTTGGGATGTGTGAAATTTGAAGACAATATAACTCTTACATAACATTTTATAAGAGTTGTAATTATTCAAAATGTTTACCCATTGTGGAGGAGGTACTTGATGGAGTGGACCGATGTTATCCATTTTCGCAACTGACCTAGCACCGACGCAAATATTACTATATGCAAAGTTGGGGTAAAATTGCATTATCGTTCCTCTTTTTGAAAATTTCGACCTTTTGCGGGGAAGATACCAGAAGGAGTGGACCGATATAGTCCATCTTAACACCAGACCTTGGGTTAATAATAATATGGGGTTGCGTGATATTTGAAGACAATCGGACTCTTAAATCACATTTAATAAGAGTTAGAATTATTCAAAATTTTGACCTTTTGTGGGGGAGGTACCAGAAGGAGTGGACCGATATAGTCCATTTTCGCACTTGACCTAGCACTGATGCTAATATTAGGATTTGCAAAGTTGGAGCAAAATCGGATCATCGTTTCTCTTTCTGTGCAAAAAATACATTTTTGGGGGAGGTACCAGAGGGGTGGACCAATATAGTCCATCTCCGAACTCGATCTAAGTTTGACAATAATATTACGATGTACCAAGTTTGGATCAAATCGGATATTCCCTTCGAGAGTTCCCGTGCGCACCAACCAGCCAGGTAGTCGGACGGACGGTACCAAAAGGAGTGGACCTATACTGCCCATCTCCGAACTCGATCTAAGTTTGACAATAATATTTCAATGTACCAAGTTCGGACCAAACCGGATACTCCTTTCGAGAGTTTTCGCACGCACCAGCCTTCCAGACAGACGGACGCACGAAAGGACATCATTAGATCGACTCCAAATGTCCTGAAACGGATTTGTTCCAAAGAGACCTGGAGTCTAAAACGGTTATTTCGATGAGGCACTTTTGGTATATAACCGTTATTATGGTGCTTCAATTTTGGCCGTATCAAATGATATATGGGGGATATATATCATTTGATAGAGGGGTATATATCATTTGATACGGCCTCCTTTCGGGGGTTATCGTGCACACCAGGCATATGACTGAAGGTCGGAGTCTAGCCTAGTCTAGCCATATGACTTAGGTTATAATAACTCTCTTAAAATGCACAATTATTCCAAATTTCTCTCTAAGAATTTAAAATTGGAATATGTAGCTTCGAACTTTTTTTACGTCCTCTAAAAGAGGGTATACCCTTTAAGGAAATTCTAACAGTACATATCTGTCGGAACTCTTACTGAAGCTTTCCAACTGGTTTCACTTACACTCCACCTACACATCTCTGCTCCACAATATGTTGAAGGCTACAGCTATCATAAGCCATATCTTGTTTACTCTCAATACGCACCGGTATTTATTAACACGCATTTAGTTACAACCACCTGGTGGCTTCCAAAACTTCGCTGACATTATTGAAAAAGGTAAATATTAACACTCATCAATATAATGCCGTAAATGTCGCACCTATTCGCATTATTAAATTACAACAGAAAAAAACAAGACACAAACATTCCTCCGCAATAACCTTTCACAACCTACACCGCCACCCCCTCCTCCTCCACAGCCCATCCATCAGCCATCTGGGCGAAACCATAAAAATGATGTATTACCACAATACCACATTGGCTAATTTAATTATACACTTTCGCTGTTTTTATGCGTTGTTTGTTAGAGTGACCATCCATCCATCCATCCATCACCTCTCCCCTCCGCACACCACAAATAAACAAACATTCTCCCCCCCCCCCCTCCAAACTTACCGTATTATCATTGCAACGCGCACAGTCACATATAAAGTTTTTCGTCATTTTCAGGAAAATGCAACGGGTCAAATTGCTCCACAGTATCTTGGTATAGGTCGTGGTCACCTCACCACCCTTGGGAATAAAACGTGCAGCACGTACCACAGCCATGCGGCCATTATCGAAATAGTGACTGGCATTGGGAGTACATTCGTGGTTCATGACGGCAGTCAGGGGAAACAATCCGCGCAGCAATATCTCATGATCTCCCATGCGACAGGGTGCCTCAAAAGCATTTGTATTAAGGACACCCACCACGCGGAACAGCTTATCCATGTAAGGTTTATCAGTGGTGGGAAATTTACGAAAACATTGGGCCGCCTTTATGATTTCACCACGATAACACTTATCATCGTTGGCCTGCATGGCCTGGACCAGAGCCCTTTGATCCGGCTGCAGAAAGAAAACCCGCACAGCGGTCAGTATACGCAACGACATGGCATTGACGGGACAACAATCCGCCTCGGCATCATCATCCTTACCCTTTTGCAGATCTTTAGGTTGCCAGCGCCGGAACAGCTCACACTCGTTGCGGTGCTGCTCCGAATCACTGCATTTATCACAGACTGGTAGGGTGCATTTGTTTTTGCATAAAAAATCCTTGACCGCCAGCAATTTATGACAGCAGACACATGTGTTCAGTATGGAGCCTTTGCGTGCTGTGGGCCCCACCACCAGGGCACGCTCGCGAAATATCAGCTCACCTTGTTGGATGTCGCGTGTGGCAAATACACCACGTCCGGCCATCGGTGATGGGCCTATTGTCCAGTTGGGCTCAGGGTCACGTAAATCCGCCAAATGCAGGTCAACGAGTCGAGCCAATTCAGTTGGTGTCGCCATTGTTGTTGCTGCTATTGTTGTATGGCCACTCACTTCACTTGGGAACTCCAATGACAACACCACCACCCGAATTTAAACTCACGAATATTGATGATGATGGACAATTTGTTTGGAACGAGAACTTCTTTTTCTTCTCACACGCATCTAGTAACGGTCATTTGCGAGTGTGTCTGTGTGTGTGAAATGTTTGAAAAAAAAATTGGTTTTTTGTTTGTTTTGCCCGTTCACGTTTTTGCTCTTTCAGAGAGTGTACCGCACGACGCGAGTTGCAACAGATAACTAAGCGGCATAAATATTTCTTCGACAATTGGCCTCTGGTTTCATCCGCAAATAGTATGTTGTTGTAGTTCTTCACAGTCTCCGGCCGGGGTATTGGGATGGGAAATGTTTTTGGGTTTTTGGAAATACGGAACAGGGAGACAAATTGAATATCGAAAAAGATTGGATTTTCAGAAGACCCCACAGGTCGAAACGAATGTAAAACACTGAGGTTTTTCAGATAGAAACCCCAAAGGTCTCCGATAAAATACATCTCTAAGTAATTCTTTCATAACAAGGCTTGAGCTCTTCTTAAAAAGAAGACATCCTTAAAGAGAAGATATTGAGAAAATGAGGTCTTCCCACCTCATAGAAGACCGTGTATCATTCATAGAAGACTTTGAGGTCGACTTGGAGTCTTCTATCGTAGAAGACCTTGAGGTATTTTCTCGTAGAAGACCTTGAGCTTTTTTCTCGTATAATACCACTAGATATTCTATCGCAGAAGACCATCCGTTTTTCTCTCGCAGGAAAACTTGAGCTCTTCTCTAGAGGAGAACATGAGGTTATCTCTCATACAAAACCTTGAGGTCTTCTCTCGTAGAAGAACTTCTCGTAGAAAACCTGAAGATATTCTCTCGAAGAAGACTATCACGTCTTCTATAGCATAAGATCATCAGATATTCTTTCGTAGAAAACCACGAGGTATTCTCTTGCCGAGGACCATCAGGTCTTCTCTCGTAGCGGAACTTGAAATGTTCTCTCATACAAGATCTTGAGGTCTTCCCTCGTACCATACCATCAGGTCTTCTCTCATATAGAAATTTGAGGTCTTCTCTCGTAGAAACCCATTAGGTATTCTCTCGCAGAAGACTATCAGTTCTTCTCTCATAGAGAACCACGGGGTATTCTCTCGAAAAAAGTACTTCGTAGGAAAACTTGAGGTCTTCTCTAGTTGAATATCTTAAGGTCTTCTCTTGTAGAAGACCTTTAGGTCTTTTCTCGTATAAGACCTTTATCGACCTTTATTTATCGTGTAGAAAACCACGAGGTACTCTCTCGCAGAAGACTATCAGTCTTCTCTTGGAGAAGGCCTTCAGGTCTTCTCTCGTAGAAGATATTGAGGTCTTCTCTCATGGAAACATGTGTATTTTTCATAGAAGAGCTTGAGGTCTTCTATGGCAGAAGGCCTTCTGTTCTTCTTTCGTAGAAAATCTTGAGGCCTTTTCTCATAGAAGAAATTGAAGTCATCTCTCGTATAAATACTTAAGATCTTCTCTCTTAGAAGACCTATAGGTCTTCTCTCGTAGAAGACCTATAGTTTTTCTCTAGTAGAATACTGCGAGGTATTCTCTGGTAGAATATATATACAATCAGGTCTTCTCTCGTAGAAGATCTTGAGGTCTACTCTCATAGAAAACCGTGAGGTTTTCTCTCATACAAGACCTTGAGGTCTACTCCCATAGAAAACTGTGAGGTTTTCTTTCATACAAGACCCTGAGGTCTTCTCTCGTAGAAGAAGACTTCTTTCATTGAAAATCCTGCAATCTGCTGTCATAAAATACCTTGAGAAGGTCATGCTGTCCTTTTTTTCAAGGAACGGTTTCAGGTCGATTGTCAAGGAAGAGCGTGAGGTCTTCCCTCCCAGATATCAGCAGAGGCCTCAATACCATATTTCGGGATTCCGGCTCTCCCTTCATCCACATATACAATTTAGTACCACTTAGTACTTTTTGAACAATTTTAGTACACATTTCCATTTCCAACTCCATGTATTAACCACAGACGCCAAAAGTGACTTCTATATCAAATTTCAGGATTCCAACTCTATACCTTCACCCAATACCTAATTTAGTACCACTTAGCACTTTTCGTACAATTTTTTTCCAAAATTTTCCAAAACTACCTCCATACCTCAATTCCAGATACAAACAGAGACCTCAATACCACATGTCAAGATTCCAACCCTATCCCTTGACCCTTCACCTAATTTAGTACCACTTAGTACTTTTCGTACAATTTTTGTACACATTTCCAAAACCACCTCCATACTTCAATTCCAGATACCAACAGAGACCTCAATACCACATGTCAAGATTCCAACCCTATCCCTTGACCCTACACCTAATTTAGTACCACTTAGTACATTTCGTACAATTTTTGTACACATTTCCAAAACCACATTCATACCTCTATTCCAGATACCAACAGAGATCTCAATATCACATTTCAGGATTCAAACCTTAGCCCTTAACCCAATACCTAATTTGGTACCACTTAGTACTTTTCGTACAATTTTTGAACACATTTCCAAAACTACCTCCATACCTCAATTCCAGATACAAACAGAGACCTCAATACCACATGTCAAGATTCCAACCATATCCCTTGACCCTACACCTAATTTAGTACCACTTAGTACATTTCGTACAATTTTTGTACACATTTCCAAAACCACATTCATACCTCTATTCCAGATACCAACAGAGATCTCAATATCACATTTCAGGATTCAAACCTTAGCCCTTAACCCAATACCTAATTTTGTACCACTTAGTACTTTTTGTACAATTTTTGTACACATTTCCAAAACCACCTCCATACCTCAATTCCAGATACAAACAGAGACATCAATACTAAAATTTCGGGATTCCAACCCTATCCTTTCATCCAAAACACAATTTAGTATCACTTAGTACTATTCGAACATTTATAGTACACCTTTTCAAAACCCCCATCAGAGCTCAATCCCAAATAAAACCAGTAAGGAAAGTCTTAAAGTCGGGCGGGGCCGACTTTATGATACCCTACACCACTTTGCTAATTTAGTAGAGCTCCGCATAACACTTAAAAGTTTTTGTGGGAGAATTCAATCATACACGCTATGATTATAATTATAATTTAAAGTTCAAAGGACTAAATATGCCGAGGCATTTGTATCTTTTAAAAATCGGAAATCGGATAAAAATATACATGGGAGCTATATACAAATCGGAACCGATCTCGATAAAATTTGGTAAAGATATTTCTGAGCTGTATTTCATATATTTCCCTGAATATCGTTGTTACGGAGTGCATATTACGGCTGTGGGAAACAAATATGACAAATCGGATGAACAGTAAATATGGGAGCATTAGCTATATCTGGACCGATCACCAAATTTGACAAACTAGCTTCTAGACTCAATTCGGTCGTAAGTGCCAAATTTGATCCCATTTGTGCAAAAATTAGGCGGTTGGTGCACAATCAAAGGTAAATCGGACGAAGTTATATATGAGAGCTATATCCAAATCTGAACCGATCTCGATAAAATTTAGCAAATGTATTTCTGGGCTGTATTTGATATATTTCCCCAAATATTGTTGTTACAACGTGGATATTACGGCTGCGGAAGACAAAAATAACAAATCGGATGAACAATATATATGGGAGCTATAGCTATATCTGAACCGATTTCGATCAAATTTGGCATACTTATTTTCAGGTCCAACCTGATCGTACGTGCAAAATTCCATACTATTCGGACTGATATTACACGTTTGGTGCACAATAAAATGCAAATCGGACGAAGATATATATGGGAGCTATATCTAAATTTTGACCGATTATCTCCAATTTCAATAGGGTACGTCCTTGGGCCAAACAAATGATTTGTGCAAAATTTCATCTGGATAGGGCAATAAATGCGAACTGTACATTGTTTTCAAAAATACATGGACAGACTGACAGACGGACGGACGGGCATGCATAAATCGACTCAGAATGTGATTCTATGCAGATCATCAAAAGGAACTATGGGTCTATCTCGTTTCCTTTTGCATGTTACAAACAAATGCACAAATACATAGTACCCTGACCACCTTGTGGTGTAGGGGATAAAAACCTAGGCCTCAATACCAAATTTAAGAATCCAGCTCTATTCATTTATCCAATATTAAATTTATTACCTTGAGGTCTATTGTAGAAGTCCTCTCATAGAAAACTATGAGGTCTCATAGATCTCTCAAAGAAGATCTGCTATGAGAAACCTCAAAGTCTACTACCATTGGAAACCATTAGGTCGTTTTATGTAGATGTTATTGGTGCATTTCTTCATGAAGGCCATTATTGCGTAACTCATGAGAGAACTTGAGGCCTTCTCTCTCTGGCGAATTATAGAAGGGCTTTTAGACTTCTCTCACATATAAATATATTCTCTTGAGTTATTCCCTCAAAAGATTGTCCTTGGAAATTTATAAATTTCCTCCCGTCATAATATCCCCAACCCATGACTGTATGTGTCGCAATGTTTTCCTCATAAAGATGGACAGAGTACACACAGAGCCACATACATATATCCACACTGACGCACACACACACACACATAGACACACAAACATATTTACGCTCGCCAATGTTTGAAAATATGCTTAAGCTTAAAAGTGCAGAAAATTACGCGTGAAAGGCCAGAGAAAAAAAATGAAAATTACCACACAACAAGAAGAACAAAAAAACCAACAACAACAGCAACAACAACGACGACGACGACAAGAAAATAATTGGATGACAAAAACACAACAGCGGCAGCAGCAGCAACAAGAACACCAATATATGTATTGTTTAACAAAAATTTTCATATGATTTTTCGATTTTTTCCTCTGCGGAAAATTTGAAACATCGACGATGCCGACAACAACGTACATACGTACACACAGCAAGCCAGCCAGCAAGTGAGAGGTCGCTCACTGGGCTCACTGGCATGTTATTTATCGTCTCCGTCCGTCACGACATGATAATATATTCCGAAATTTTTTTGTTGTCTGGTAAAATTGTTGCTGCAATTGCCCGAGATGTCTTTGAGATTTTCCCGCCAAAAAGAAAAGTTGTTGCTGACTTTTGCCTCATTTTCTTTGGGATAGAGGGACTTCATATGTCGATATGTATGTGTGTCTGCATGTGCTTTGGTTTGTGTCAAGACTTAAAATCAATTGAAAAATAAATTGCATTTGTGGATGCCACAAATGCCCCTGAATTGGGTCTCTTAACAGC